GCTGCACCAACAATTGCGGAACAATATACTTACAATAATACGTTATAGAACATTGGGTCATCTAATCAGGGTAATCATGGTTACAAATTTTGACGATAAAAGAAAGCGGCAACGCAAGTCTACTTTTGAAAGAAGCTATCCAACTTTAAGAATAATAAATTTATCTAAAATTTTGGTCAGTATCGTATCTCAATAATTGTGGTTAAGCTTAGTCAGTCAAGATAGACCACGGTTAATTTCCTTCGAAGAAACGACAAAAACATATCTCTTAATTATTTCAAATTGCATGGTGATGATTTCCTTCACCGTAAGAATGTCTGATAAATCTACATACGAAATTCGAATATGGAAACACACATTGGTACATCGCGGGAATCGAACCACATGACCTGCAGATTGAAAGTTAGGCGCTGAACTTCTGAACCACCGACGTTAATTTATTCAAATATTATATTTCATCAATATAGATAACAACTAATAACCGTGAAAGAAAATGTAATAAAAATACTTGAGGGAGAATACCATTATACAAATACCTAATGTGTTCATTAAAAGCAAGCATCAAAAAATGCCGCAGTTATTATGATTAAGCTTTTCCGAGCGCTCTGTGTTCTTTTTGTCCGTAGACTCGTTTATAGAAATGACCGTATTACAGAACTTCTCTTTATCCGTAAGGCATTTGTGAAATTCAGTAAACTTTTATCTTGTTTATTATGATTACTGGTTTTATGGCGGTCAGCTTGTTATAAGGAAAGCCAGAAAAAGGGTGAGAAATTACTATAATAGTATGTAATAAAAACATAAGAACACATCGGAATTATATCGGTATTGTTATGAAGAACAATGATATGTATTCGTTTAATGTTTAAAATAGTTTAACGAATATGTTATGGGCCGATGTCCCTATTTGTGTGTTTGCAGGATTGAAACACGGCGTACATTATTTCAAATCAAAATTGGTAGGTAAGGCATCTATAGATGATTCTCTTATACAACACTTTATTTGATTCAAACATCATTAATACTTGAGCTGCCGTCCGATTAAAAAAATATATTAGTAGCCTGTGTGCGGAATTTCAGTGAGATCCATGCAGCCGTTCTGGAGATGACTTCTAACAAACATCAATCCATTCATCTAAATATTCTCATTTATAATATTAAGTAAGAATCGTAACATTTGATCTAATACTCGTAGTATTTAAACACCCGCTATCTACGAATTGATAATTTGTAACATTGACACGGTGGCCGCTTGTAAAGTGATATAATGTTATTTCCTTATCAGTGTTGTATAATATTGATCATCGTGTTATGATAAGCGATCTATAAGTGAAACAGCTCACTGTTTTTATTATAATATCCCTACTCATTGAATAAATATCTATTCCTAATTAATATGTTTATATATGAGATGTGAAAACTACCTTAAAATAAACAATTACCTTTACTTATATTTTCCGCAAGTTAAAATTTTAGTAAATATCAGTTTTGATGTATGTCAGGTCTAAAAGAAATATATTTTTCTCAATTCGCAATAGATTACTGTTTTCTTATCGGATCAGACGGATCGACACTATGACAGTCGCCTAAGTACAACATTAATCAACATACGAAATTAATTCGATATTTTATAGATTTCAGTTACCAAACTATTCTATCTTAATTAGCGCCAGTGATCGAGAAATTGAGGAGTAAAAGATTAACGTGGTTTGGACATGTTATGAGGAGGGATGATGATGATATAAGCAAAAAAGTAATGAGATTGAATGTGGATAGCTACAAGGGTTGGGGAAGACCAAAAAAAGTATGGAATGACTGTGTGAAAGAGGATATGCGTAAGAAGGGGGTAGACTCGGATATGACGGCTGATAGAGATGTATGGAGGAGTAGTACATACTGTGCCGACCCTCGATAGGGATAAGGGCAGGTTGATAATGATGAAACTATTCTAACTTATTATAAATAGACACACTTTTTCATCATTTGCTTATCCAACCAATCAACGCCGCTCGCGACGTATATATTCTGTGGCTATGAATAACGCGGCTAATATACATTTTATCTATGGTTGTAAATTATAAGCTTACAAGGCAACATTGTTTACATGTGATATCTGAAATATTTATTAAGGATGTCCGTTATTTCAATATCGATCGAAAAATAGTTAAACGGTGGTCAGAGATTATGTGTCAACTGTTAAAAAGTTATTTAAAGTGTCCGAATGTTTTTCAATATATCTTCAAGTTTATATTTATATCATATCGATGCACTGATGCATGTAACATAAACATTTAGGCTGTTATTTGGCGAGCGATCTTTATCATTTTGATATCAATTGATTGTTGTCTGTAGTCTATACTCACTGTACATGACTAGTACATAAAAATCTTACAAGTATATAATTGCATATGCATGGTTGGATGGAGGTATGTTTGTTGGAAGGTGTATCTCCAGAACGGTTGCATGGATCACGATAAAGTTTTGTATAGATGTAGGGCATAGCCTGGACAATTATCTTTCTAATTATATTTTTTTTATTGGAGGACGGAGTCGCTAATAAAGTAATAGATCCCATAGTTAAATATTACCATATGATTTTATAGGGATAAGTTTTTATATTACAGGTTTCTATTATGTATAGTTATAATAAATCAATAATTAAACAGAGTCTGTTTTTTTTAGTAATACAGTTATTTTGTACCATTATTTTCAGAAGCCAGCAGTGGTTGGCAGACGCCTGATTGTGACGTTTAGTGCTATAAAGTCTCACTGTGTTTTTCAATGATTTATTTTCGGCAGCTAGAAAACACTGGGACTGTTTGTCTGCAAAAAATCAGTTTCTGGTCTGGCCATTTTACCAATGATTCTTATGAATACATGTTAATTGCGTCCTATCTTTGATTTAATATAATAAGTAAATATCGGTATAAGAAGACATTTTTCTTAATTACGTACCCGAAAACGGTTCACCTGAAAACGACTAATTACTGGATACTAAAAACTGTTTTTTTTTACTAATATCTCAATGGATTCTTATGTTACATGACCAATTTACCTTTTTAGTTATTACTTCAATTCTTACTAAGAATTATAACAAGAATTTCTAAAGTAAATATATTTTATATAGTCAGTAGATTACAAAGGGAAAAGATTGAAAAAGTTTCTTTAGCTTCTTTAGTATTTCTACAAAGAAAACAAAGACTTTAAAATGTCTCGTCTTGTTTACTGTTATGTATTATATTTCTTTTATGATAATTATTACAACCTATTAAGCTTTGTGCATTGTATTATATCAAATAGCTATTACGTAATGTATCAACGTCTTTCATTTTGGTTTTATGTTTTATAGTAACCACAAGAGTATGAAAAACAGACTTAATTGGCCACATAGTATATATTAACTTGTAGACTATAGCTATAGGTAATTTTAGAACAAGTACAGATAGTTGCAGAGATTTAAAAGGGCCAGAAATTTTAACAGTACAATGTGACTAAAATCCGCAGTTCCTGTTCACCTCTTGTCTCAAAAGAAATATCTTTTGCCAAAACTAATCTATATGTATAAAAGAAAGTCGTATTAGTTACACTATTAATAACTCAAGAACGACTTTACCGATATGGCTGAAAATTGGTGAGGAGGTAGCTTAGAGCCAGGAGACGGACATAGGATACTATTTATTATTTTTTTTTGAATTTATGCCTTGAAGAGCTGCTTTTTATTTTACTTACTAATATTATAAATGTGAATGTTTAGATGGATGTGATGTGTATGGATGGGTGTTCGAAGATATCTCTAGGACGGCTGAATGGATCTCGATTAAATTTGGCATACGTATAGAACATAGTCTGAAAGAACACATAGGTTACACTGATTAAGTTTTTTTATATATGCACGCGGACGGAGTCGCGGGCGACAGCTAGTTTACTCTAAAATAGATAAGATAAAGCTGCAAAGTATTGAACTAGTTTCATTTGTGTTTACCTGTCCGCATCGTTCAAATATAAATAGAACATTAATGATTCACAGTACATGTTTGATCTTCTACTCAGTGTGGGACCGATAGAGCGGAACTTATTTGGATTTCATCCAACATTCTGCACGTGTGTTCATATTGTATACGTACAGACGAATATCATTTTCTATTGTTACGCTATCTAAAGAAAGTTCTAGCCTAACAATTAGTTTCTCATCCATAATGTTTAATTCCTTTGTTCCAGATTTCATTGTTTTGCTAAAGGACAAAGAGTATATTTTCTACATTGAAAACCCATGAGCTGCAAGAGAACGATCTTTGGATAATGATTTTCTACAACAGTTCCATTGGTTCAGAATGACGGTGATGATACTGAGAAAAATTTCGGTCTTAATGATACGATATTTGATAAGGTTTTGTTGAATAAATTAATATTTGGAAATGAGAGTTATGGCCAGAGATACTAAAATAAAATTCTTGAGTATTTTATGTTGTAAAAATTTTGCTCTTTGGTGTAGTGTAACTAAGAACGAACGGTAACGCTTGTTTAATATAGCAATAGTCAAATTCAATCCTAAACTTTTAAGAAAGAAGTCTTTATCAAATAAATAAAGAAAAGAAGTAAATGAGAATATTATTAACATTTCAAAACACCCTAAAATACAATTATAAAAAAAAGGAATTTTCACTTACGATCGCTTTTAATTAAAAAGAATGGAACTTTTACAATATTGTGAAAACAACGAACAAATTCCAGCACAAATAAAACATTCTACTCCTACAGAATAAACAAACGATGTTAGCGTTTTGTTGCTGACGTATTCGTACATATGTGTATATATCTTCTCCGAAACATGTTTATCTTGAAAATTTCAGTCGACAATTTATGGACTCGCTGTAATAACAAAGTAATAATAATTTCTATCAATATTATTCCTACCAGATGTAAAGTAATGTCATAAAAAATGTATAATACATAGATTCGTTCTACTATTTCTATTTTTATATACTGAAAAAAGTATGCACCTTTCAAAAAATACTTCTGATCCGTCAGAGTCGCTGCGTGGTAATATAAGTTTGGGCAGAACCATGCCCTTCTTCCGTCTACCTCGTATACCAGGTGGTGTAGGCCATTGCAGTTCAGTCGTTGCTAAGGGGCTATGTGGGCTAAGGATCGTTAGGCGGCGTTCAGGCGGAGGCAAGCTCAGCTGTTGTAGAGCCCGCCGCTCAGTGCTCGCGAACAGCCCACGTCGCTTTTCCGCCGAATTTCCCATGTCCTCGCCTGACAGCGCACGCCGTGCCGGCAGCCCACGGGACTCCCGCACATCTCGCTCGCTTGCCGTTAAGAAGGAGCTACGATGAATCCGTACCGTGGTACAGGAGCTCGCCGGTCGCGCCGGAGATGTGTCTTTGCTCGGACGAAGGCTCTCCATCGAACGAGCCGTCTCCACTCTCGCGGCTGCCAGGTACTGGCCACTCGTTATGGTCGTCTGTGCCACCTCACATTCCTCTTGACTCGAACTAGAGGTACCGCTTCGGGAGAATGTACTCGTCTTAGATACGAAACTTCTATCACTGAACTGAGCTGTTGAAATGCTGGATGTATTAGCATCGGCGGATTCAGAGGACGCTTGCTGGCGTAGGAATCCCTCCTCTAATGAGGAATGCACGATACGTGCGTTAAGGGAGCTGAAAGCCGCCAGCTTTTGCCTACGGACTTTCCGCTCGTCGTCTTCCTCCTCCATTTTAGTTTCTTTTCTGAGTCACCTATTACAACTTGGACTTTACTGCACAAATTCAATACACCATTTTTGATTAAAACATTTATTGCATTTATAAAAGTAAACTTAAATTTATGATAACATTTAGAAAGGAACACTGGACACAGTCTTTATCACTCTTTGAGACCACCACACGCACTTTAAACGACACCTGAAACAAATTGCTGTAATTAATAAAGAGTATTTACATAAAATATTTTAGTTGCGAAGGAGAAAGGGAAATTAAGGAATAAAAGGATTTGTACATCTCGAATAGCAAGCGTTAATGATTGTTTTAATCTTAATAGTAAAATATAGTTGTGTTTCTCGCAATTTGGTTTGAATTATTTAATTATAGCGGGGGTATTCGGTTTAAATAAATGTTTTTAATTACATGTCTCAATTGGCGGGCTTGGAGTCGAGCGCGAGTTGACCCGCCTCGTTGGCGCAGTCTGTGAGGGCCTTCACTTGCTCCGCGTTCAGACCTGTCGCCTTCACCTGCACATTGGCGCTCTTCGAGTGTTCTGAACTCTCACTGCTCGACTCCACTCTCTTGGTGGTCTCATTTCCGAACTGATCGATGAAAGTTTCCTCCTCGAACTCCTCTTCGTAACTCTGTTCAAAGTGTTCGCGGAACTCTTGTCTCGCCTGAATGGTGACTTTTTCTGTAGTTTGTTTCTGTTGTATCAACTCGTCCATTGTCTTCTTAACGAGCTGCTGACCGGCTTCCAATTGCTTGCTCTCAGACATCTTGTTTACTTTTGAATTATCTACAAAAATGTACAAGTATTGTAACTTGGAAGAAGAATATAAATGCGAAATCATGCATATTTGCCTTAAACCTTTAATGTTTGTTTTCAAAACACGTGAGTTTTTAAAATTATTTTTGTTTAAATTATTCAAAACAATCGATAAATAAAAAAAAATATGAAATTCGTTTGAATTATTCAACACGATGCAAAAGTAAAACGAAAAGTCAGAGTTGATGGAAGCGAATGCGGCGGTTGGCTCGCGGCCAGAAGTGGAAAGCAGCGGCCGTATTTAAATTTACGTCTCTGAAAAATTTCAGGGTAAGTTCGACGAACACCCGGCGACGCTCGCATTCTTGTAAATCTATCTACACAAACCTCGGGACTATTGTTGTACGCGTGACTAGAAAATTTTCGAGAATTGACAAATGTTCAAGTCTATCTAGGTTATCGGTCTAAATCTATTATGAACTCGGAACTTTCTAGAACATAGCAATAATTTCATAGTTTATCGGATATACTTGATCATACTTTTAGGATTTATGTTTGTTTAAATTTGATGTGAACTTTGTATTAACAACAAATTTATACAATTTCTCTTGCAAAGTAATTTAATCTACAATTAATCATGATATTAAAAAAAATTACAATAATTTATTAAATGATATGTAACTTAAGCTGCATATTTACAAAATTTGCTCTGAAGCAATAAATTTATAACTAATTATTGAAATTTAAATAGAAATCGCACGGAATTTGGTATAAATTCCTTTCGTTGCAACTCTTGTGACTTTGGATTAGTTCTTGGGTGTAGAATTTACGGAAAGTATATTTAATAAAATATCACATGCGGTGTGTAATTAACGCAAAAGTATAAATTAAAATATTCTGCTTCAAAATTCAATACGACAAAAACAAAGGATATATATTTAAGAAACGCTCTAAAACGATTATTTAAAGTCACAAGAAAAAGTTATTAAAAAAAATACCTGAATAATTAAAAAATAAAAGCGTATTCCTTTAGCTTCTGTACTATAGCACTGTATTGTGGAGTTGTTTCCCGTTTCGAGATCCCGCGTGTACTGAACTGAACCGAGAAGCGAGTAGCTTTTGTCCGCGAGTTTTGCGTGGGCGCAGTTGGGGCGCAGCGTCTGAGCTCACGACGTTTCGCGGTCACATTTCTTCGAAACAAAACGGACAGTCAGCTGCCACGCCGGATTTATTAATTGCGATTATTAATTTAAACTTGCGGAAAATATCTAAGGAGTCTTTGCATGTCCGTATATAGCTTTTATGCATTTTGAAATTGGATGTATGTAGGAAGGTATACCTTAACTAATAAATGTCGCTGAAATTTGGCACAGATTTAAAATGTAGTCTGGAAAAATAAAAACGTTACTAATTAAGTTTTCTCCGCGCGGAGGGCGTGTAATAATTGTTCGTTTTGTTAATAGAACTTAAATGGACGTATACGACGTTGAGATTAAAATATTGGGCTTCTTGTTGGTATGAAAAATTCTAGATAACATGCATTAATTAGATGAGGATTAACCTATTCCTATCTAATTTCATCATGTTATCAAATACATCACTGTATTATTTTAAACTCCAAAAGCGAGCAACCAAGGAATTAAGATCGGTGTATTTTAAGATACGAGTGCTAATTAATTATCAATTTCTTGGTGTGCTTAATATAAATCCTATGACGTTTATTATGATGAATCGCAACATGTGCGTCTGAGTGCACCAAATGTGTGAATAAATAAAACGATACTCTGAGATAACATCACAACTTAGGGTTCAATTTAATATTCCATTCTTGAGTTCAATCTAACAATTAATTTAATTATAATAGTTTGTATGAATAGGAACTACAAAAATAATTCGATCGCCCACAATATGTTTTGGGATTGCTTTTCCGATCTTTAGATCGGTTAAATTTGAAAGAAATGGTTAAAAAAATATATAAATACTGTGGATAATTAAAACGGGTGGAAACGAGATGGAATATTAATTTCAGCCCTAACACGATGGTTACATTGAACCGCGACGTCTTAAAATAGTCGTATGATCAAGAGATAGGAGAAATACGTCCCGATGAGTCTTCCATACGTATAGCGTGATAAACAAACCAAGTATTTCAATGGCGGTTGCCAAACCTCTGAATCAGTTCATCACTCATATAAATGCGAATCGTGTTTTCCGGAAACCGTATAAAATATATTTGTTAATCGTTTCTATCAAAGATGACGTCGGAAGCAACTATAAAAACTAATAAATTTCTAGTTTTTATATACAAACTATAAATCAATATGTTAAACGATTTCTTAATAATAATATCCTAAGTGGTACAAAAAACATTGAGCAAACTTGTGATTAATATTCCATCTGATCACAATATTAAAACGTATTTCCAGAACACGTTAAGCGTATTTTTGTGTGGGGGTATAACTACACAAATAAAATGCTTCAATTTTACACCATTAAATAAATTATAAATAATGTTAAACTTTTGTTATAAAACCGCTATGATTAAATTCAATCAGGCATCATCCGGTGTGAAAAACTAGTATTACATAGTTTTAGAATATTCTATTATTACGCCCTACGCCTCCAATTATTTACAAAAGATAAGCAAATGACTGACATCAAGGCTTTCGTGGCCAGGTGTCAGTGCTCGGGTTAAAGCAATAATTTATACCAAGGCAAACAAATATAATCTATTTCTAAATAAGGTTTAATGGTATTACGTATTTATTATATAACTTGCTGTCGCCCGCGACTTCGTTCGCGCGGACTTAAAAAAACAAAACTTAGTAGCCTGTGGGTTCTTCCAGACTATGGTTTACATTTATGCCAAATTTCAGAGAGATACGTGCAGTCGTTCTGGAGATACCTTCAAAAAACATCCATCCATTCATCAAAACATTTACAAAAATAGTAAGAAGTAACGGTGTTTATAAATCGGACATAATTTTTCATTTCCTATTCATATTTGGAGTATGTGAAGTTTAAAACACGTGGTTAATTATTTGTTATGAATAGTATTTTTGTTATTGTCCCAATCTCAAGGCCTAATGGTTTTTTTTTCCAGAAACAACCTTAAAGACTGTCGCATTCTCTCATTCAAGTAAAACCTTAATGAGGATTTAGTATGAAAAATCTACATTAAGGTACTACTTAGGTTATCATACAATTGGGTTTTTCATCAGTATTATTAAAATATTTTAATAACGACTCATAATTTAAATATTCTACATATTCTACACGTTCTAAACCATTGTTATCTTAATTTTTCAAACGTAACCTACGTAATTGTTTGTTGAAACTACCAAGCACATTAATCAAAAGCTTTTAACGTGGCTCATAGTATACGAGATAGTATAACCAACGTAAACTATCGTTAGTGTGTGATGCTAACATCATTAATATCTTTACTTACGGCTAATTGTGTTTATTTTACATTTGTATAAAGTTAAACGTAACGTTAGCCAAATATAAATATTATATATATTTCTTACTAGTTATAATTTTCATTGTTCAATATACATCAAAAAGCGACACAGCGTACCCAACGTTACATAAGGGCTTAGCCAAAGTTATTTTTGTTGCACAAAAAGTTTAGTTTTCCTTGTAAAATTCTTTGATATTTTTAGCATAAGCGCCTATGTGTAAAACTTAACAAGACCATAGTAGTACTAAAAGGACACATACTTTTATGTGTCTATAGTTAAGGGACTTACAATTCTACTAAGGGGCAAGATCCGTCGTACACAATAGTTACAAAACAGTATAAAAGTTTTATAAAGCGCATTAAAAGCACACAATAGATACGTAGGTATTAGCGATAACATAAGTTGTAGATACAGGATACATTTCAAGGTCTTCCCGGGTGCTCAGACATCGCACAAAGAGGATACCGCCCGAGGTTATAGTGATAGAAACCTTTGGTCTTTCTAACTTAACGTACCTTATCTACTCTTACAACATAACATAAATAGTAAAATAATACATGTACAAATGTAAAACATGGAATGAAATAATCAGTTTTGAGTTTTTTTTTTTATTTTTCCATTTTATCGAATTCTCTGTGACCTATTGATTAATTAACAGTTAAAATAACCTGACTTATAAAAGGAAATCATTTGTTAAAATAGATTTCTCTTTAATATATAAAAAAGCGTTCATGCAATACGATATAAGATTAATGATTTTTCTTCACAGACTCATCAATCAAGGAGAGCCGTAATCCACAAATTAGTAATTTGCCTCGTTACGTCACCCGTCTGCTATGACGTCATGAATCATATTGATGATATTTACAGCGCTACATGGTTATTTCTTTCATAGTTTGATGTTCGATTACCACATTTAATAGTATATGGGCATACTCTATTGGCCGTAAAACTTTTAACAGTCAATTTGCTCCGTCAATGTCTCTTTTATTACAGACTATCTTAGTACCCTTTACTCATAATTGAAATGCGTTCGAAATGAAACTATTTATGACTTCATCATCATCAGCTCACTATACTTCCCCACCGAGGAGCTCGGAGCCTACCCTGAATTAAGGGTGATTAGGCCATAGTCAACCATGCTGGCCAAGTGCGGATTGGTTGACTTCACACATATCTTTGAATCTCTTAGATATGTGCAGTTTGCATCACGATCTTTTCCTTCACTGTATACGTCGGATAAATGTACATATGTAAATCGGCAATCTAAAAGCACATTGGTACATGTCGGGATTCGAACCAAGACCTGCAGACTGCAAGTGCTTGGCCCCTGAGACACCATCGCTTATTTATAACTATTTCAATGAAAAATTATATTTTAAGAAACATTTTGACACTAATTTGTTTTCAAATCTTAATCAGGGGATAGAAATTAGATTCTATACATTACAATAAAACATGTTTTCGTTGGTTCATTTATTGTTTTCTTCACGTATTTTTTTATAAACGACCGTAGTTTATGCCCAGAGAATGTTCTTGACATGTGAAATAACATGGCTTAGAGGC